TAACAGCTACAACCAAAAGACGCCAGTTTGCGTTCTTTGTATAGAAATCCATCTTACCATTTTGCTGATATGCTCCATTTTAGACTTACCCAGGTTGACTGAAAGAGAGAGTCAAATTAGCAGTCCGTCTCCTACAATGTTTCTATAAAGTTGAGTATTTCAGGCGTGAAATATTTAAAGTCAATCATTCGCCACTGTAAGAGCCATAGGAAAAGAATTCGTGAGAAGTTAGGCTACACATGACGATCGATACTAGATCTATGCCTAGACTCTAGTGAGGAATTTCATTTTCAATTAGCTGGACTGACTACTCTGAACGTCAAAATAGATTTAAAGGGTAGGCTATAATAGCTTGATATTTTTTCCAAACAACATAAAAACTAACTTACAGCAAGGGGAAAACCTGGCGTTGAAAGATGTCACACTCCATAGGTCTAACGACACCTTGCGTTGAAACATGATCTGAAATCCTCTCTCGTTAGCTCCTCTGCAATCCAGGGGATACGCGCTAAAGCCTCAAACAGAGAACAATATAATATCTAGTTGAGAAAAACTGCTTTCAGCTTTGGGAAGGGTATACAGTGGTTTACGGAAAAATACGCGAGAACACAACGATTAACCAAGTCATTAAAATACAATGTAGGTAGAAAAGTAACTACAAAAAAAAGAAGAAAAAAAGGTTAAGGTGCGTTGCTTTTTATGGGGGGGGGGGGGGGGGGTTGTGTTATTGTCGGGGGCAGCAGGGTTCTGGTTGTTTAAAAATTTGGGACTAATTGTTACAACATGAAGGCAATCTCTAGCTTACTGGCTACTGGTCGGTGGTTGCATGTTTCCTAAGCTTTCAGAAAATAAAGTCATTTTATTTTGCTCAGTCTTCTTTTCTTATCCCATAAAGAGTACCATGTATTAGACAAACAACACGACAACATAGGACATAGGAATGGAAGTATGGCAGTTTGTCACAGGCCCAGTTTGTCACAGGCCTCGATTGTGCCCTGCAAGATGGGAGTTATCACTGACACTCTAAAAAAGAGTAAATAAAAGATTGATTGATTGTAGGAATTGAATTTTATTTTTCAATTGTTTTTAAAGAAAGAACATTCATTGATGAAATTTTACAGAGTAATTTGCTTTGATTTGCATACAAAAAGGAAGAAATATTGAACAACACAAGCTGAATTGACATTTTAGAGGGACTATCTCTACACTACCAATTTGAAGGTGGAGAATAAAAAAACGTAAGTTACAACTACAGTGTTAAACTGCTGTAATTATGACTGTCATGAATACTCAAATTATTAATACTCAGCCCTATCCGTACGTCGTGTTTTACTATCGTATCCATACGACGATGGGAACTCTGTGCCACCACTTTCAAAGAGGAAATTTACTCGTTGATCCGATCCGTACGCTTTGCATAGTAGATCTAGTCTGTCAAAATTATTTTTTTAGAAATACTGAAAGTTTCAAAGAGATCTTCGTACTATATAGAAGTATTCTCAAATGTGAATAATACAACCCCGGAGGTACAAAAAGACCTCAGGGCGTACGGACGGGATAGGGTTAAATGAAATTGTGACAAAGTGGGCCAGTGACAAACTGGGCAGCGCCCCACAGGTACGCAACTGATGAAACCTTTTCAACGTGCTCAGTGATGTTTCCAACACAAAAACGTGTGAACCATCTACATTATCTATTTCGGAAAACACAGTGTTAAACGTCTAGATGTAACTTAAAAAGGCCTCAACCTAAAATAAAAGGCGCTTTTTCGGTAGTTCCCACCCCGCATTTGTTATTCGCCGGTTTTGGCCCCAAGAGTAGGGGGGTTTCAGGGGGGCTTGCCC